GAAGGGAACAGAATTACCTTTGACAGCTCCCAAAGCAGTCACAACACTACTGCAGTCACCATAATCTTTGTAGAGATACATCTACAGCTTTGTTACAGGTGGCACAGTTTGGGAGACTGCCATCTTGATGGTTTATAACCAAAATATTTGGTAGTTTTGGTAGAACCGTAGATTGCTTTTGCCTTGAACTTAGAAGCGCTGAGCTCACTGAACTGACAACCTGTGAATATACAGTGAAACCAATGCAAATGAGCATTGATTTATGGTGCAGATACACAGCTGACCAAGCCATCTCAGATTCACACCTCAAGTACTTCAGGACTACTTTATACATAGCATACATGACGCATTCTCAGATGTGCGCACAAAACCTTCAAATGCTATCCAGACATATATTCTGCATGGAAAAAAAGATCTGGAGGCAAATTTGGATATATGGGAGATAAGGCTTTAACTCAATCTGTATGTGGCTATCAGGTTTGAGTACTACAGAGTAAGACTTGCTCAGCAGAAAACTTTTGTCTATGTAACTCAATTAAGAATACATTTTAAAGTGACATGTTAGGCCAGGTCTTAGTATGAAAGCCAGTAGCTTAGTGTAAGGTACTAGACAATTCATTCATGTGATGATGTACGTCATAAACGTTTTTATTCCCAACATAACTTGCTGCTGCTTTTATTGTTTGGAGGAGGTAGAGGTGGGTTTTTGTTGTGCTTTTTTTTGTTTGTTTTGTTTTTAAATAACATTGATTGTACTAGTTAAAATATTAGCTTTTTAGAATAACACGTAACAACTTAAAAATTGACTTTGGACTTTTTGTCATTAGCCTGTAAATGTTTTATGCTAGAAGTAATGCCAAATATGCGCGAGTTTGCAGGACTAGGGTTTTATTTAATTTTGCATAGCGTGGAGCTGGATAACAGCTTTTACAGTGACTCTAGTTAGGCATCACTTTCTGAGCATCAAGTAGGCAAGCAGAAGGCTAAAAATAACAATAAAGGGATTCAGTTTGGGGTACATGCTCTTAGCACTCCTTGTACAAGTCTTGTTCCTCCAGTGCCATTTTCTTTCACGTTCCTTATGAATATTGAAGTAAGTTAACACCTTGCACACAATACCAAAAATCAATTTAGAAAACTTTTCAGCATCATGTCGATTCAGGAAGGCATGGTTTCTTAGATTTTTTTCCTGTATTTGCAATGAAATAGTATCTAGAATAGATTTAGCATTTTTAATATAGTAACAAACATTTGAGGTTATTTGAGTGTGGGGAAAAAAGGTCAGGGCTATTCAGTTTGAAGCATCTGAAGGAGCAGTGGTGGTGTTCCAACAACTGACAGAATTTTGTAAGTATAATGAACAAGTTGAACATGTTGGTATTATAATTATAATTACGCTTTATTCTTGGAAGTAGTTAAAAACAAAATTTGTTTTAGAAAAGAAAGGAAAAATACAGACATCTAAAACCACATAAAGGATAAAAGAATTCCCTACTAGGAGAAATCCAAGGGACACTTTTTGAAAGCAGGCCTAGAGAATGAGTAAACTAAGTTTGAAATCTAAGAGGAACTAAGGCAGAATGAGAAGAGTATTTGCAGGAAGAGGAGAAATTGTTTTGGTTCTCTCTAATTTCTATAGTGGAAGATCTGCCAAAATCTAAACCAGGTTATTTGAAATCTGAGAATTTATTATTTTTATGAAGTCACAGTATATTCTTTTATTCTGCATCCTCAGTTGTCTCAAATTCCTGAACTCTGTAGAAAAGACTCGTTATTAAAAACTCTTCTTTGAAATTGTACTTTGTAATCCTTTACCCTCTACCTATTTAGATTTATTGTACAATTTAGTGCAAGCAATTTTAACTCAAAGGAAAGGGTTTAGATGAAGTCAAGGAAAGCAAATTCACAGTTTTTTCTAAACGCAAAATCAGCACCTTTATAGCAAAAGTTGCTGTCAAAGGATGGTTGTGAAAGCTCCAGCTTCAATGTTATCTCAGCTATCAGACAAATATATTCTACATCTTCTTTTCTGACAAAACCAGAAACAGCAAATAAAGCACAGTGCAAGCACATTAACATCAGCGTTTAAATCTTAGCCTGTTATATTCGGACATTTGTGGGTTTAGACACATGCCATGGTAGACATGGCACTACTATTAAGACTCCTAAGGCTTCCATTATAATCTTTTGACAATGTTATTATAAACCTTGAAAACAAACGTCAACCACTGACACTGAATACTTTTGGAAAGTTGACTCAGTTAAGACAAGGTCTACAAGGAGGATAATGAAAACAGTTTGGCAACATTCAACATAAAGCAATTAGGAAATTAACAACTACGGCTATTCCACGATTTAAAGAACTTGAATTTTAACAGCAATCTCAGCATAGCATCCAAAAGAGACCTTTTCCCATCTGCATGAAAGATTCACCTGACTAATCTAAGAATCCCAGCAGTGGTTTGTAATAAACACACTATTACTCTGGAATTACTCCGGAATAATCTAAGGGTGTATCACACACTTCAAAGTCTGAGTCCTTCACGCTGACGTGAGCTAGCTGCTCAGAACTGAATATGTGAGAGAAGCATAGTGTCCCTTATAGCCATGCATTATTACAAGATGTTAGTAACTGACTTTTCTGTCAGTAACCATTAGGATAACATACCGCAAGTGTCAAAAAATTATAGCCAAGTCAGCAGTGATCCTTCAGTATATTCATGGCCTCCTGAATTCACAGTAGGCAGATTTTTTCAAACACCACTTTCATGTAATGGAAAATGAATATTCAGGTTAACCAAGATGACTAATATATTTGTGTTGCATTTGCCATTTGGGAAGAATCAGGAGCAATTTTCAATTCTGTGTGTATATGAACTTCAATTCATTTACACTAACAACTATATGAAGGTAATATTTAAGCCACCACTAGTTTCTTTCAGCTGAATTTGAAAGGTAGAGAGCTTCTCCAACCATTATTTACAGATATCAAAAGAATTTCAATCAGTTAAAGAAAAAGCAGCTACAGTAGCAACTCCTTGATGTTCCATACTGACAATAATAGTAACAATATTAATTACATCTGCAAACTGCAGTGAACACTAGATCAATCCCAGTGTCTTTATCAAAATCTTTCATCTTCGTTATTAGATAAATGTCTAACATACACTAAAAGTATCACAAGTGTACTAAAGATTACTACAGCCCTCCAACTAAGCAATTAAGGTGTTGATTTGAAAGAAGGCTGAAATTTACTGGAAATTTTGTAATGTTTTATAATTTTACCCATTCGATAAACATGGGATGAAAACCAAACCATGTGTCTTACACATAATCATTGGGACAACTGTCTTTAACTCAGATACGTTACCACAACCACAAAACCTTGGTCAACAGCTTCAAAATGACTG